TCAATTTTCGTATCCTTAAAATCATTTTCTGAGACAATCTTTTTTTATTCTGAGAACATTGGGGCAATTTTTAATGTAGTGGTGGCATAAATTCTTAATCAAAATTTGTTGTAGGTGATATCTATTATGCTGTATGTGTCCTCTCTTCTTTCTCCCTTCTTTGGTTCCTTTCAGGGAAAAAGATACTTAAATGGCTCTAATCTCATACATAAAACCATTTCATAAGACACTGGAGGTTTCAAGTAGCAACTCCTGTTTTTTAAAGATAGTGCCCAGCAGATAGCAGCAGCGCCTGGTTACCAGAAACAGCTGTGGATATTTTTCCTGTCTCTGGGTCTGGCTGAAAAGTGGTGACCTCAGGGAAATACTAGGGTGCTGGTTAGCCTTCAGGAGCTTCAATCTTGATGGAGCTGGAATGAGAAAACCCAAGGCAAATTAGTCAGCCCAGGGATGATCAGAGAAGCCATGACTCCACTGTGCCTGGGGAAAACCAAAGACTTTGTTAGTCAGCTCTGCGAACACATTTGCAGAGCTCATTCAGTAAACCTGGAATAAATTCTTCATTATAGAAGCCCTCTTACAAGTAGATTTTTAAAAAAGAAAACTACTAAATGATTAAAGAAAAACTATAATTTGTTAGCTAATATGTAGGAGAAAATGTTACAACTCAGCAATAATCAATGTTGCAACTCAGCTGCAATTTAAAACAAGATAAGACCGGCTTCTGTCCAATTAGCAATGATCTTTTTCTATGATGGCTAAAACAGGTCCCTAATAAATATTATAGAAGGAATGAAGGAAATAGAGAAAATAATATAAATACCAGAAAGGGTAAGATAATGTCAGTGGACACACTTTAGGAAAGCAATTTGACAAAATGTCATCATTCTTAAATGTTCATAACCTTTGATCCAGTTGTATGATTTCTGCGAATCTATCAAGAAATCATTATAAATAACATCAAAAAAAGTAATAGATTTCCAGTTGTTAATAGCAGCCTTATATGTATATTAGCAGAAGACAAAAACCCTCCAGATGTGTAATTTTAAAGGACTTCTCCAGAGACTATAATACCCTTTAACAATGAGATGTTTTAAGTGTATGTAACAGCACAGAGCAGTGTTTATCATGTTTAATTTTTTAAGAAATAAAATGCGATGATATACACGCAGTATGAAACCAACAAGGTGGGGAAAAATAGATCCAAGTCAAGGCAAAAACTAATGTGAAATATACCAAGATGTTTAAACTTGTGTTTGGCAATTGGGGCAATTTTTTTCCCTTAAGTATTTTTTACTTCTCTCTTTCCTATGTACTGCCTCCCTAGCAAAAAAGCAACCCATATTAAAACAAAAGTCAAATAACCCGAAAAAACAAACAAACAAATCTTTCTGACCATCTCCTAGCCACAATTAATATTTCATGCCTCAATATATTATTCAAGCAGGAAATGAAAATGTTAGAAAATTGGCTGGACATGGTGGCTCATGCCTGTAATCCCAACACTTTGGGAGGCCGAGGTGGGCAGATCATGAGGTCAAGAGATGGAGACCATCCTGGCCAACATGGTGAAACCCCGTCTCTACTAAAAATATAAAAATTAGCTGGGTGTGGTGGCGCACACCTGTAGTCCCAGCTACTTGGAAGGCTGAGGCAGGAAAATCACTTGAACCCAGGAGGCAGAGGCTGCAGTGAGCCAAGATTGCACCATTGCACTCCAGCCTGGGCAACGAGAGCAAAACTCCGTCTCAAAAAAAAAAAAAAAAAAAAATCATATATTTGACATCTTCAAGATTCTCCCAGAATATCTTATGGAACTCTGAAATTCTCAAAAACATAAAAATATCTTTATCCATGACTGGGCACAGTATCTCACACATGTAATCCCAGCTACTTAGGAGGTGGCAGCATGAGAATCACTTGAACCCTGGAGGTGGAGGTTGCAGTGACCCCAGCCTGGGTGTCAAAGCAAGACTCTGTCTCCAAAAAAAAAAAAAAATTTAAATTAGCTATATTCTGAAACCAGAAATGTTTCTACCGGAACATTCAGTAGAGCATTCTGTCAACATAACCAGAGCACGACCTTTTACTCTGATAGTCTTTATACTTAAGCCCAAAGGGCTATTCATTTATTTTCTTCTGGAATTCCTATTTTCTCATCTGGCAGCAAATATTATTCTCACAAAACAAAACAAAAACTTCGATTTTATTGCATAGTTATGTTTGTGCTCTTAATCTTGAAATTACTGAATATGCATAACCCACATTCTATTATTTTAAAAATCTGATAAATTATCCCATAAGCTCTTTTTAAAACATACTGGAGCTTTATTTCTTTAATTTCTGCATTTGGCCCACATTGTTGGATCCTTAATTTCACTTATTCATTTTCTTACAATTATTAAATTAAATGATCTCTCCTGCAGGGTGAGACTGAGGCTGGTACCCACAGGCTTGCTGCTTGCGTGGTTCAGTTGACTGAACCACTCAGCAGTGACTACATTGAGTGCTTTCGGAAATGGAGTCCACAAAAATCTTTTGAGCTGCTTGTTAAAATGCAGATTATTGGCCTCCATCCCCAACCTACAACCAGAATGTCTGGGATAAGACCTGGACCATGTGCATTTTTAACAAGCACTAGGGGTGATTCTTATGCACACCAAACTTTGAGAACCATGGATCTCGTTTTTAGAAGAAATCTCTAACCACTATTTTTTGATCAGCAAGAGGAAAACCACAGTTTATTTGTTAAAATGCTAAAGTTTTTCAGAATTGGCCTGTATATTATCAGGTCGCTCAGTAAAGTTATTAGTGTTCTCTAGCTATAACCCCCTAGATATTGACCCTAAATATCTGACTATATCCACTGAAGGTTTGCCTTACAATTGTCTTTGTCATTTACTCTGCCTTGTCCCTCCTCTCCTCTAGAAATACAAGTCAATGTTCTGTATTCATGTAGGATTTTTATTGTATTTTTTTAATAGATATCACTCATATGGTTCAAATTTCAAAAGAACAAAAGGATATACAGTGAAAATCCCCCATTCCATTTCTGTCATCTCCTGGAAGGCAACCACAGTTAACAGCTGCTTGAGTATGGTGTTGAATCTATTTAAAAAACAATCTGGAAACTCATCACTTTTCATAGGAAAGCTAAAGGAGAGTATACAGTAAGCTGTTTTGTGTGTGTGTGTGGTTTTTTGTTTTTTGTTTTTTGAGACAGAGTCTTGCTCGGTCACCCAGGCTGGAGTGCCGTGGCATGATCTCGGCTCACTGCAACCTCCGCCTACCAGGCTCAACAATTCTCCTGCCTAAGCCTCCCGAGTAGATGGGATTACAGGCATGCACCACCATGCCTGGCTAATTTTTGTATTTTTACAAATACAAAACTCCTGACCACATGTGATCCACCCCACTCAGCCTCCCAAAGTGCTGGGATTACAGGCGTGAGCCACCACACCCACAATAAGCCATTTTATTTTTTAATGGTATCTTTGAGTTTTAAAAACTCTTTTTGATGTAAAGCCCTCTGTTAAATATTTGCTGCATAGCAAACTGCAGTACACAAAACCCCAGAGGCAGGTAAAAACAAGCATTTATTGCTAATGCTCTGGGATAGCCAGCTAGGTGGTCCTGCTGATATATCTGGGGATCTATTGGCTGATTTAGGAAGACCTGGACTGGGATGGCTGGGGTGGCTTACTGGGTTCCATATGTCTCTCATCTTCAAGTACACTAATCCTGGCACATTCCCATGGCAATGGCCGAGGTGTTAGAGATAAGAGAAAGCAGGTGTAAGATTGGGCTTGGCATGTTCTCACCACAGTCACATTCTACTGACCAAAGCAAGACACAGGCCATCCCAGTTTTAAGGCGATGGAAAAATACACATTGCCTCTTTAATGAAAGGAATTTCAATGTCACATGACAAAGCCATGGCTACAGGGAGTGATGAAGAATGAGGCTATCACCAAAATCTGTATGTAATGATTGAAAATTCATTACAATCATAATTTTTGACTTACTGTTCAAGTATTATACTTTTATAAAACTGTCCATGTTTTCTGAAGATTTTTCAGTTGTATATATATATAAATTGGGATGGAGTCTCACTCTGTTGCCCAGGCTGGAGTGTGGTGGCATGACCCCAGCTAACTACAGCTTCTGCCTTCCAGGTTCAAGTGATTCTCATGCCTCAGTCTCCCAAGTAGCAAGGCTCCTGCCACCCTGCCCAGCTAATTTTGTATTTTTAGTAGAGATGAGGTTTTGCCATGTTGGCCAGGCTGGTCTCGAACTCCTGATCTCAAGCGATCCACCCACCTTGGCCTCCCAAAGTGGTGGGATTACAGGTGTGAGCCACCGCACCCAGCCATATACATTTTTATTTTATTTTATTTTATTTATTTTATTTTATTGACACGGAGTTTCACTCTTGTTGCCCAGGCTGGAGTGCAATGGCATGATCTTGGCTCACCACAATCGCCATCTCCCAGGTTGAAGTGACCCTCCTGCCTCAGCCTCCTGAGTAGCTGGGATTACAGGCATAAGCCACCATGCCCAGCTAATTTTGTATTTAATAGAGACAGGGTTTCTCCATGTTGGTCAGGCTGGTCTCGAACTCCCAACCTCAGGTGATACTCCCTGCCTCAGTCTCCCAAAGTGCTGGAATTACAGGCATGAGCCACCAAGCCTGGCATGTGTGTGTGTGTGTGTATATATATATATATATATATATATATATATATATATGCCAAAAGAAGAATTGTGAAAACATCTCAAAGACCTGGGATCTATACTCAGTCAGCACATACCTTTCCACTGTCATATGTGAAATGAGAAAAAGAGGCCAGGCCTGGTGGCTCAGGTCTATAATTCCAGCACTTTGGGAGGCTAAGGCCAGAGGATTGCTTGAGCTCAGGAGTTTGAGGCCAGCCTGGACAACACAGTGAGACCTTGTCTCTAATTTTATACAAAAAAAAGTTAAAAAAAAAAAAAAAAAGAGGCCGGGCGCGGTGGCTCAAGCCTGTAATCCCAGCACTTTGGAAGGCCGAGGCAGGTGGATCACGAGGTCAAGAGATCGAGACCATCCTGGTCAATATGGTGAAACCCCGTCTCTACCAAAAATACAAAAAAATTAGCTGGGCATGGTGGTGCGTGCCTGTAATCCCAGCTACTCAGGAGGCTGAGGCAGGAGAATTGCCTGAACCCAGGAGGCAGAGGTTGCGGTGAGCCGAGATCGCGCCATTGCACTCCAGCCTGGGTAACATGAGTGAAACTCCGTCTCAAAAAAAAAAAAAAAAGAAAAAGAAAAAGATGGGTAATGACTCTGGGAGAATACTTGAGGAAACATGAAATAGAATGTTTCAAGTTGTACCAAAGAAAAGTTCCATTTTAATTGAAAATTTTACCTCCTCCAGCAGGGGTGCTGATGTACTAACAAGCCACTTTCAGAAAATCTGTGCAATCAAGTACAGTTTTCATTCTTTTATGTCAACATATTTTTTGAGATTATTTTTAGTATTCTATACTGATTTAAATCTTTGCCTTTTTAAAGTCAGAATAGTCATGCTTACAAAGTGACCCTTATGAAAGGTTTATGAAACAAATGTCAAGGGTGATTCGGGTTTCTGCTTTCCATTTAACTTAAATCGCTATTTGCTTATTTTAAGAAATAAACTTTGTTTCTTAAGATAACACTGCCTCTGATGCTATCAGTAGCCTCATCCTGCTATTTACGAAATAACCTTTTAACTAGAATTTTCAAATACTTTAATATACATGTGGAATCACTTAGACTTTGAGCATTTCTTGACCCATTCACATTTAGTCCTATTGGTTGGTAGGCAGTAACTGGAAAATGCAGCATTTCTCTCTGATAGGAAGTGAGAAGCAGGACTTGGTGGCACTCAGTGATCAGGCCATAGTTCAATGAGTCTTTGCATGCAGTTAAGCTGGAATCAGTTTTAGAGGTTTGAATCTGAGATTTGGGCATATCCTAGCTGATATGGTTTGAGTTTGTCCCCATCAGAACATGATTCCCAATGTGGCTGTGTTGAGAGGTGAGTGTATTGGGAGGTGTGTGGGTCATGGGGGTGGATCCCTTATGAATGACTTGGTGCCATTCTCCCGGTAGTGAATTCTCACTCTCTATACTAGATTAATTCCATGGGAATGTTCCTTCAAGAGTAGGTTGTTATTGTTAAAAAGTTTAGCCCAAAGCTGCCTCCTTATATGTTTTAAGTTGGCCTTAAAGGTTTCTTCATACGTAACAAACTGTAACCTTACTGAATGCATAAACACACTATATCCTACTCTTGGGCTAGTCACTAAGTTTTGGTCAATCCAAGGAAGTAAGCTGTTCAAACCATGTTCAAATAAGTCAAACACCAAGCTGTGGCCAATCCAGCTATTTCTGTACCTCACTTCTGTTTTCTCTGTCAGTTTCCTGTTTCTGTGAATAAATCTTCCACCAGGCAGCTGTGCTGGAGCCTCTTTGAACCTATGTGCTTCAGGGACTGCCCCACTGGCAAATCCTAAATCGCTCTTTGCTCAGCATAACTCTTTCAATGTAATTTGTCTAAGGTTTCTTCTTCAATCATTATAAAGCCACTACACTGGCTGGGCATGGTGGTTTACACCTGTAATCCCAGTACTTTGGGAGGCTGAGGTGAGCAAATCACATGAGGTCAGGAGACCAGTCTGGCCAACATGGAGAACCCCCTCTCTACTAAAAAAAAAAAAAAAAAAAGAAAAAAAAAAAGAAAAATTAGCCAGTTATGGTGGCACATGCCTTTAATCCCAGCTACTTGGAAGGCTGAGGCAGGGGAATCGCTTGAACCTGGGAGTCGGAGATTGCAGTGAGCTGAGATTGTTCCAGCGCACTCCAGTCTGGGTAACAGAGCAAGACTCCATCTCAAAAATAAATAAATAAATAAATGTAAAAATATAAAGCCATGATGCCCTTGGGTTTTTGCCTCTTCTCCTGTGTCTGCTTCCCCTTTGATCTTCTCCACCATGTTACGATACAGCCCTCCCCAGAAGCCAGAACAGATGTCAGCACTATGCTTCTTAAGCTTTCCAGCCGGCAGAACCATGAGCTAAATAAAGGTTTTCTTTCTTTTTTTTTTTTTTGAGATGGAGGCTCGATTTGTCACCGAGGCTGGAGTGTGCAGTGGCGCGATCTCGGCTCACTGCAACCTCCGCCTCCCAGGTTCAAGCTATTCTCCTGCCTCAGCCTCCCAAGTAGCTGGGACTACAGGCACCCACCACCATGCTTAGCTAATTTCTGTATTTTTAGTAGAGATGGGGTTTCATCATGTTGGCCAGGCTGGTCTCGGACTCCTGACCTTGTGATCCCCCTACCTTGGCCTCCCAAAGTGCTGGGATTACAGGCATGAGCCACCTCACCCAGCCTAAATAAAAATTTTCTTTATAAATTACCCAGTCTCAGGTATTCTGTTATAGTGACACAAGCTATAGACTAAGACACTAGCCTCAATGGAGCAGGTATTGCCTTTGCAAATTGCTGCCCACTGACATCAGCACTCTCCATAATCTGAGATCTAGAAAAACATTGTACGATGTTATCTATGCAACATAATGTTGTAGAAATTCACCTCCTCCCCTTTGCCCTTTTTCTTTATGTTTGTCACTGGTACCCACAGGCATAGTTCATAGGAACTGGTGGTCCTCTGAGCTCAGCCAGAAGTCAGAGAGATTTTCAAATGGAAGGATACCCTGACATGGATGTGAAGCAACTGGAACCCTTTTTTTTTTTTTTTTTTTTTTTTTTTTTGAGATGGAGCCTTGCTCTGTCGTGCAGACTGGAGTGCAGTGGTATGATTTTGGTTCACTGCAACCTCCACTTCCCGGGATCAGTCTCTCCTGCTTCAGTCTCCCAAATACCTGGGATAACAGGTGCGGGCCACCATGCCTGGCTAATTTTTATATTTTCAGTAAAGATGGGGTTTCATCATGTAGGCCAGGCTGGTCTCGAACTCCTGACTTTAAGTGATCTATGTGCCTCAGCCTTCCAAAGTGCTGGGATTAGAGGCATGGGCCACTGTGCCTGGCCTGGAACTCTTATATGCTGGTGTGAATATAAAATGACACAACCTCTTTGGCATAAAGTGAAACATACACCTATCTCATGACCTTACGATTCTACTCCTAGGTATTTTCTCAAGAAAGATGTAAACATATTCCACACAAAGACTTACACAATGATGTTTACAATAGCTTTAATTCATAACAGCCAAAAACTGAAAACAACCCAAATGTCTCAGTGGATGAATGGATAAACAAATTGTGATGAATCTGAACAATGGAATGCTGCTCAGCAGTAAAAAGGAACAAACTGCTGATATCCTCACCAACTTGGAGGAATCTCAAACATATTACACTTGTGTGAAGAAACCAGACACAAAGAATTCCCATTTACATGGAAATCTAGAAAATGTAAACTAATTACAGGTTGCCTGGAGGTGGGGTGAATACATAACAGAAATGTTCTGAGTATTTGTTGTTTGTTTTCTGTTTTTTGAGACAGGGTCTTGCTTTGTTGCCTAGGCTGGAGTGCAGTGGCGCTATGATGGCTCATTGTAGTCTCAACCTCCTAGGTTCAAGCAATCCTCCCACCTCAGCCTCCCAAGTAACTAGGGCCTACAGGTACATGTCACCACGCCTGGCTAATTTTTTTTTTTTTTTTTGAGAGAAGGGGTCTCATCATGTTGCCCAGCTGGTCTTAGCCTCAAGCTACCCTCCTGCTTCGGCTTCCCAAAGTGCTGGAATTACAGCTGGAATGAACCACTGTGCCCAGCCAAAATGTAACATATTTTTATTGTGATGGTATATACACATATTTCAAAATTCATTGAATTTACAATGGATGCAGTTTTTCATATATAAATTTTACCCCAATAAAACGGAAGTTTTTAACAAAAAAGACTCAACATCACCAATCATGAGGGAACTGCAAATCAAAATCATAGTGAGATATCACTTCACACCCATTAAGATAGCTATTGTTAAAAAACGACGACAATAAAGAACACATGTTGACAAGGATGTGGAGAAACTGGAGCCTTTGCCATGTCTGGTGGGCATGTAAAGTGTTGCAGCTACTATAGAAGACAGTATGACACAGTTCCTCAAAAAATTAAATACAGTATAGAATCACCATGTGATCCAGCAATTCCACTCCTAAGTGTACACCCAAAATAACTGAAAGTGGAAACTCAAACAGCTAGTTGTACATCCAAGTTTCTTAGAGACTTATTCACAATAGCTAAAGGGTGGAGACACCCCAAATGTCTAACAGTGAGTGAATGGCTAAACAAAATGTGGTATACACACACAGTGAAATATAATTTGGCCACAAAAAAAAATACACTTTTGAGAACTGCTACAACATGGATGAATCTTGAATATGTATCCTAAGTGAAGTAAACCAGATGCAAAAGAATCAATATTGCAAGTTTCACTTATATGAGGTACCCAGAGTAGTCAAATTCATAGAGACAAAAAAATAGAAAAAAAGGGTCTGTAGGACATGAGAAGGGGTACTTATTGTTTAATCGGTATGGAGTATTAGCTGAGAACCGTGAAAAAGTTCTGGAGATGGATGCTGGAAATGATTATACAGCCCTGTGAATGTTCTTAATGTCCATGACTTTACCTTTAAAATGCTAAAATTTATGTTTTGTCTATTTAACACAATAGAAAGAGAGAAAGATAGAAAAAGAAAAAAGAAGAAGGAAAGAAAGGAAGGAAGGAAAGAAAGATGGAGGGAAGAAAGGAAGGAAGGAATCCCCTAATCATCTGTGCCTGTCTTGGGGCAGAACCGGACAAATGGACAGACAATTTTCATACTCCACAGCCCCTGCCAAGACCCCACTCTGACTCTGACTCTGTCAATCAACAAACATCTTGTTTTGGGAAGTGGAAACAATTGATTCTGCCAGGCACATGCGACATGGGAGAGGCTGAACGAAAAGGCGTCTGGGTGAGGAGCTGGATCTGCAGACAGATCAGTGGAGAAAGGCACAGCACAAGCAAAGCTTCCACAGCGGGGCTGTGTGTCGGTGACTTCAGCAGCCTGCTGTTGGGGGAACAACGTACACGTTGTGAGCGAGGTCAGGAGGTACAGCTGGAAGTTTAGGGTAGGGCCAGACAGAGGGATCTTGAAGGCCACACTTAGGTTTGTTTGGGTTTTATCCCATGGGCAGCAGTGAACCTTTCAACAATTTCAAGGTGATTATTGACTTGTAGTGTGAGTTTTAGAAAGATGGCAGAGGAGGGATGGGCTGGAGAAGGCCAACCGGGAGGCAGGGTCCAGGAGAGGGTGAGCTTTAGGAGGTCCCTTCTATTCCACAGATGCCCCCAACAAATCTGATTCGTAGTTCCTGGTTTATCCCAGTCATCCACAGGTCCTCTCAAACATCTTACACTCATATTCTTCTTTGAGAAACATTGAAATCTCACACCGTTTTAACATCTCATACATTTCAAAGTAAATTAACTTTGATTTAAAACAAATCAAAGCAATTTCTAATGAGAATGTTTTTCCAACTATACTAGTTGGAAAATACAGTATTTTTCAGCTATACCATTCCTTTCTCCTCCCTCACTCCATTGTCTACTCAATTGGGAATCATTGTTCTACCGCAAATCTGAGAAGTGTTATACGTGAGTTCACCCTGGGGTGTGAGGCTCACTTTAAACAAGTCTGATTTTATAAGCACTTCCTTGGGCTCTCAAAGATGCTACAGGCCCTGGCAAGCCCCATGCTGGGAATGACTTCCCTTCACTTCATTCTGGATGTGTGAGTTACCTGCAAGGGCAGCATTGCTGCCAAGCTGAGTTCAGTTGGCTTTAAAGACTGCCTTTGTCAGCCAGACGCCGTGGCTCACACCTGTAATCCCAGCACTGTGGGAGGCTGAGTTGGGTAAATCATGAGGTCAGGAGTTCAAGACCAGCCTGGCCAAGATGGTGAAACCCCATCACTACTAAAAATACAAAAATTAGCCAGGTATGGTGGCATGCACCTGTAATCCCAGCTACTCGGGAAGCTGAGGCAAGAGAATAGCTTGAACCCGGGAGGCAGAGTTTGCAGTGAGCCGAGATTACGCCACTACACTCCAGCCTGGGAAACAGAGTAAAACTATGTCTAAAAAAAAAAAAAAAAAAAAAAAGATTGCCTTAGTCCTCATACCATTGTTTCCCTGATGTGCCAGACTGAAAGGGTCACCTGGGGTGGGTGTAGAGCACAAAGGTTCCCAGTCCCCTCTCTGGAGATGCTGATTCTGGAGTCTGAAGCTGGCATCTGGAATCTCTATGTTGAGCAAGTGCTCCAGGTGATTCTTGTGACCTGACAAGTTTGGTAAACACCGTGAAGACTCTGCCTGCTCTGCTGGCAGCTCCAAGAAGAGTAAAGGGTTCGAGGCCCAACAGATGCCTGGGCCTCTTTCAGGGATGAAACCCTCTTTCTGAATCCCTCTTTCAGGATGCCTGTGGAGTCTGTTCCTGTGACTTTCCAGAAGTCCACAGTCAAATCACATGGCTTTACAGCTGGCGCTTGTGATTCTCTAAAATATGTCTTCATCACATAGGTGTGTCCTTCACACTTGGCCTTTGACCAAATCATTCTCTCTTTATTTGGCCCTCTTAAATATCTCTGCAGTGACTACAGGTTGTGGGTGCCCTGCCTGGGCCTCAGTCAAGAAGACAAATGCACTTGAGTATAAGGAATCCCTCTGATCACATCAGAAGTGAGACCCTGTGCTTATCCCAAAGTTACTTCTTCAAATAACGCATGTTCAGCCTCATTTCAAGGAAGAGGCAAAAAAGGCTCCTGAGAAGACAAAGTGCTGGGATTACAGGGATGCCACGCCTGTAACCCCAGCACTTTGCAAGGGCGAGGCAGGCACATAAGTTGAAGCCAGGAGTTCGAGATCAGCCTGGCCAACTTGGCAAAACCCCATCTCTACTAAAAATACAAAAAAATTAGCCAGTTGTGGTGGTGCATGGCTGTAGTCCCAGCAACTCGGGAGGCTGAGGTGGGAGGATTGCTTGAGCTTGGGAGGTAGAGGTTGCAGTGAGCCAAGATTGCACTGCACTCCAGCCTGAGTGACAAAGTGAGACCCTGTCTCAGAAAAAAAAAAAAAAAAAAAAAAAATGGCTTCTGAGGAGGCAGATAAACCTTGTGTTTTCAGAATGCTCATAGGACATCTGTAGGATATGTTGCCGTCTTTTTTCTTTCTTGGCCACAATACCTGCAAGCCTGATTATCCACTGCTTTCTAGCTCCCAGCAGACTAGAGTTAGTTGTTGAGAAGGAACCATGCCGCTGGAGGCAAAGGCACTACCCACACCCACATATAAAAGAGAGAGAGACAGAACAATGAAAAGCAGAGAGCGGCACTCAGAAATGTACAAGGAAAGACAAATACATTGATAAAGTAGAAAGGGGTTGAAAAGTAGATCCATTTTCATGACAGTGTACTTTGTGATAAAGAAGGCATTCCATATCAATTGTGAAAGGATACAAATAAATAGCATTAAAGAATTGATCCTTATTTAAGAGGGAAAAAATGGATCCTTATTTAAGAGGAAAACATGAAAAACAAGACTTCAGACATATTAAAAGAAAACGTAAGTGAATGTGGTTATAACTTTGCGATAGCACAGACTTCCTTAAGCAAGGAAACCATAAAATGGATAAACTTCACCAGATAAGCTTTCAAAACTTCCAGTTGGCAAAAAAAGAACCATAAACAACTTTAAAAAGACAAACTATAGAGTAGAAGAAACTATTGCTTGCATATATAACAGACAAAATATTAATAGCCATAATAACAAACAGTGCCTGTAAATAACAAGAAAGATCATACCTAATAACATGGAAAAGAAATAGTTTTTAAAGATCAGGTATGAACAGGAATTTCACAGAAGAAATACAAATGACTCATAATCATATGAAAATATGTTCAATCTCAACAGCTAAAATGAGTTTTTACCCCGATTGGCAAAAATAAAAGATTTATTACATTCAATATGGGTGAAGATAGGGAGAAATGGAAGCTGTCATTCTCAGTTGAAGAGAATAAATGTATATAGCCTTTGTAGAAAGAAATTTTATTCTATCCAAAATTTTGGGCCAGGTGCGGTGGCTCACGCCTATAATCCCAGCACTTTGGGAGGCCAAGACGGATGGATTATGAGGTCAAGAGATCGAGACCATCCTGGTCAACATGGTGAAACCCCGTCTCTACTAAAAATACAAAAATTAGCTGGGCATGGTGGCGTATGCCTGTAGTCCCAGCTACTCGGGAGGCTGAGGCAGGAGAATTGCTTGAACCCAGGAGACAGAGGTTGCGGTGAGCCAAGATCACGCTATTGCACTCCAGCCTGGGTAACAAGAGCAAAACTCCGTCTCAAAAAAAACAAAAAAACTTTGACTTGCATTCTCTACAACCCACCAATTCCATTTTCAACATCTATTTCAGAAAAACATCCAGAAAAAATAAGGAAATCAGTAGCATAACAATCTCAAAGAAAGAGTTTACATTGTCCTAAATTCCAGGGAATATACACAGAAACATCTTCATATGCATAAAATGGCAAGAGCCCAAAATATTTCTTTCAGCAATATCTGCACTAGGAAGTAACTGGAAACCTCAATGTCAACCAATAAATTATGGCACATTTATAAGATAAGAATGAAAAAGAATGAGACAATTTA